TCTCCTCCGATGTCATGTCCATTTTGTTCTCGAGGATGAGACCGTTCAAAAGCTCCTGGGCCAGTGGTGTCAGAGGAGCCTCCTGAGCATGATACATGGCACTCCGATGAATGTGGATCGGATTTTTCGCCTTGAACCACTGATGGCTTCTTGTAGATGTGCTCTTTTGGCAGTATTGGAATTGCGTAGTGTCCTCTCTCTGTCTTTCCCATCTTCACTCGCTGGTTGATTCTTTTGAAAACCATTTCATCAGTAGAAGTATCTAAAACGCTTTCCAAACACTTCAAAAGTTCCTTTGAAAAGAGAAACGGTGTTCTGCTGCCTGGTTCTGGCAAAACTGCTGCGTGAACGACCACATGCCGATCCCCTATGGTCACCAGAATGCTAGCTACTTCACTAGATTTCAAAACACCCGCGTTCCCGAACCGAAACTCATTGTCTTCCCTACGCCTAGTAACAATATGTAACAATGAGACCCTTCTCATTCAACCTAGACCCAATGACAGCACATAGTCACCGATGAGCGTGCGGCGACATGCCGTGTCGGGAACAGCGTGAGAATCTAAGCTTGCAGCTTGTTCTGCATTGGAAAAAACTGGCTTCGCCCCCTCATGAATTGCACTCAGCACATCAAGCTCATATTGCTCCACTTGAGCATCAGGATCTACCACCTTGGTTGAGACACTTGGCTTCTCAGACTGGTTCGTGTTCTTAGAGGTAGAACTTGGTCATTCCATGCCAAACGTACTCAATCTTCTGATGTGGCGCCCTTGCCGTATGGAAATTGTCCTTGATGACGTTGGTATCCTCAGTCTCGACATTGATCAAAATTGTCTCACGGTCGATGACAATTCTTCCATAGGAACCGGGATGTCCTTGACACCATGGGGAGTGAAGAGACCTTTGCGCTCACGATGATGGATCCTTTCCAAGACGCCCTTGTCCCTGTCTAGGTTCCACGCATCTTTGGTTTTCTTACTGCGCTTTTCCTTCATCGCCTTTGGCTGTGTCTCCTTTCCCTCCATGACTTCATTCTCCTTGTAGGTGAGCTGTTCATACTCATAGGCCTTGCCCTGGGGCTCATCCATGACGTAGCTCTCGAAGAAAGCATCATCATCACTCAGCCCCTCAACAATGTGGACTTCCTTCTGGCTATTGTCACTCTTCTTGCTCTTGTCACCACCTTGCTTCATTGGGCACTCCTTTTTCTAATGTTCAAGGCGTCGACGGTGATGACATCGAGTCTTTGCCTTCAGCAGGGACAACTTTCCTTGCACACTTCCTTCAAGCTTCCACTGCTTCTCCGTAGTGTTGACCTGTCGGAATCCTCTGGACGTTTTTTTTCCTGCATCTTGCGTCTGATACTGGAGTAGTTCTCGAACACTTCCAGTGCGTCCTCAGATTCGTACTCACTTTGTTCCTGAGTTTGGTTTGCTATGGCCTCCATGACCTCTAGCACGTCGTCGTGTGCTTATACTTCTACTTCTTCCGGTTCCTGTCTCGGATCCATGCCCTGCTTTGGCTCACACCCGGTCCTTGGCCGTTCGGGAACACTGCCTTCAAGGCAGCCAGCACATCCGTGTACTTGAGTGATCCCAATGTGGATGTCATGATGAGAGCTTCTGAAGTTGAATCCAACATCAGCTTCTTCAGTAGAATCCACCCCCGCACAGGTTCTGGTAGCTCTACTTTGTGTCTAGGTGTCCATCCTAATGACAAAGTTTCTGTAGGTCTCTTGGTTCTTAATCGGGGCAGCATAGAAGTAGGACTTGAGACAACGCTGCAACTCATCCTTGTCCAACTCCTTGTACCGCTCGTCAAGCAGCTCAAAGACCTGATATCCCTTGTCGGAAGTGATGGTGCTCAGCTCTACGTGTTCCATGAGTTCTTCAGCTTCACCCCGAAGATGTTCAACTAGTCGGGCGCCCCATTTACTTTCTGGGACCGTAGTTGGCAATCCCCTTTCGTCTCCACCTTCGGTATTCAGATGAGTCCTCACCTGAGAAAGTCTCTAAACTAGGTCTTGAGTTTTAATCATCTTTGCTCCCTGACATAGTCCACGATCCAATCCGCTGCCGCACTGCCTTCCAAACAGCAAATTGCTCCTGGTCTTGGCAGCCCCGCTACCACCTGTGTGCCTCAACTTTAACACACACAGACGGTAGATCCATCGCACCTTTTGTTCGATCGTCGGCTATTCTAAGGGGGCTCGTGCCCAAATGTTCACATAAGCTCATACTAGAGAATCCGATTGACATGTACATTTCACAACAGTTACATACATACAGATACACACATACAGTTACATACATACAGTTGCATACATACAGTTACACATACAGTTACATACATACAGTTATATACATACAATTACGTACATACATATAGTTACATACATACATACAGTTGCATACATACAGTTACATACACAGAGTTACATACATACAGATACATACATACAGTTACATACATACAGATACATACATACAGTTACATACATACAGTTACATACATACAGTTTCATTCATACAGTTACGTACATACAGTTTCATACATACATACATACATACATACATACAGTTACATACATACATACATACATACATACAGTTACATACAGTTACATACAGTTACATACAGTTACATACAGTTACATACAGTTACATACAGTTACATACAGTTACATACAGTTACATACAGTTACATACAGATACATACAGTTACATACAGATACATACAGTTACATACAGATACATACAGTTACATACAGTTACATACAGATACATACAGTTACATACAGATACATACAGTTACATACAGTTACATACAG